CGGAGGGGAAAGAGAGAGAAAGGTCAATGTGAGAGAGACACATGGATTGGTCACCTCCCGCACACACCCCAACCAGGGCAGGGGATCGAGCCTGTCCTGCAACCCAGGTATCTGCCCTTGGCCAGAATCAAACCCGGGTCCCTTCAGTCCTCCAGCTGACTCTGTAACCACTGTGCCAAACCAGCTAGGGTAGAGGAGCATTAATTTAACCATGTAGCCTAGGCAAGAAAGTTTTCTCCCTTTGAATCGCTTTTTACATTTAGTAGGTACCATTCTTTGTGGGTTACCTCCTCTGCTGCCTCAAATACACAGCCTCTGAGAGGATGCCCACTCTCTCATTGGACTAGAATGTTGTAGTCTCACACAGTGACTTCATGAAGTGGGCCATGAACTGAGGCTCAGCAGTCCTTGTTAAAATGGGATTTCCCCCTGACTTATAAACAGAGGGAGTGATGCAGATGCAGCCGGGGGGCTGCTGAGCAGGTCTCTCAGCTCCTGTGAGGTCATTTACTATGACCTCAGCAGCTTGGGTCTTAGCAACACAGCAAACAAAGCTTAAGCAGGGGATTTCAGTCGAGTCAGCGGGCATGCACTCATTCCGAGGTGAGCAGCCAATGGGAACACACATTTCTTACAGTTTTGTTAAAATTATATTTGGATGCGGTGCTTGAAAGTATTTAGAACAGTCTACCCAAGGTGGGTGTCTAGAGAATGAAATTAAGTATTCTGTGCTCTCCAGTTTATAACTCCTGCAGGGTAAAATGATAACACCTTCCCCGTCCAGCTGGTCACTTGGTTGGAGCATCGTCCTGTGCACCACAGTGTCGCAGGTTCAGTTCCTGTCAGGGCAACACCTGGGTNTCAGGGGCATGTACCTGGGTTGCAGGTTTGATCCCTGCCCCATTTGGGACCTATGTAGAAGGCAACCAATCAATGTGTGTCTCTTACATTCATGTCTCTCTCTTTCTCTCCCTCTCCCTCCCTTTCTCCCTTCCTCTCTCTATAAAGTCAATAAAACCATATCCTCGGGTGAGGATTTTAAAGAGCATGATAATACCGTGTGTGTAGATAGTACTTAGACTTTCTGGAGTCTTCCAGTGTTTTGAAATAATGTAACTTTCATGTTAGAGAAAAACTTTGACTTTTTCCTCAAACATATTCAAGTACTATAATCAGGAATAATTTCTAGTCACTTTAGGTCCCCCCCCCCCC